TAGTAGCAGTAGCGAAGGAATCGCTTGATCGGGTTCAGTTAACAGCCATTGATTGATCGCTCGGGTTTAGTAACGCGTAGCCTGCAGTGCAATCGCTCGGGTTCAGTTAGAGCCCAACGCCTCGCTCGGGTTTAGTTAGAGCCAACGCCTCGCACACACGCGTGTACGTGTACGAGAGAAACGCGCATCGCTCGGCCCTCGACCTCCCACCGTAACCGAGAACTCCCCAAAATTTTCCTCGCCCTCGCTTCTACCACGGTTTTTTCCGTCATGGACGGCCCAAAGAATGTCATGCAACTGCGTCTCCGGCCCGCCCAGGACGAAAAACCCATTTTCTATCATGATTTTTTGTCATAGAAGTAGGAGCCCACCACATCTATGATGATACCGGGTTTTGTCACAATTATCGTCATAGAAGTGTCATATGTATGACCGAAAAAATTTCATTCGGCCCAAAATGTCACGGATGTGTCTTCTTTTTGTAGTGATAGTATTAATGAGTTATGTGAGTTGGTGACAAAATGTTGTTCAGAGTCCTGGATGAGATCACGGACGTGACGAGGAGTCTCAAAATGGCCGAGAGGTTAAAATTGATATATAGGACGAGGGTATTCAAACACTGGAATTGTCTCGGGGGGTACCAAGCACTTATCGGGTGTCCGGAAGGGGTTCTGGGCACCCCCGGAAAAAGATATGGGCCTTATGGGCTAAGAGGGGAAACGCACCAGCCACAAGGGGCAGGTGCACCCCCCATATGGGCTGGCCTAGGAGGAGAAGGAAAGAGGGGAAGGGAAAGGAAAAAGTGGAATAGGATTTCCCCTTCCTTCCCTCTCCCCCCTATTTCCTTCCCCCTCCGACAAATATGGCAGGGGGCGCGACCAAGGGTAGGAGCCCAAGTAGGATTCAGGCCAACTTGGGGCGCCCCTTGGCCTCTCACCTCTCCCTCCCACCTATATATATGTAAGAGGGGGGCGCCTAGCACACAATAGACAATTGCCTAACTGTGTGCGGCGCCCCCCTCCACCGTTTACACCCCCGATCATATTTTCATAGTGCTTAGGCGAAGCCCTGTATAGAACGCTTCACCATCATCGTCACTACGCCGTCGTGCCGACGGAACTCATCTACTACCTCGATGACTTGATGGATCAAGAAGGCGAGGGACGTCACCGAGCTGAGCGTGTGCACAACACAGAGGTGCTCTGCGTTTGGTACTTGATCGGTTGAAGCGCGAAGAAGTTCGACTACATCAACCGCGTTGTGAAACGCTTTCGCTTATGGTCTATGAGGGTACGTAGACACACTCTCCCCCTCGTTGCTATGCATCTCCATGGATAGATCATTGCGCCTGCGTAGTATCTTTTTGTTTTCCATGCAACAATTCCCAACATACAACACCTGGGGTGCATCGGGATCCTCCTGAGTCATACACATGCTACTATACCATTGATCCCATTGCTAGTATTGTTCTTCTTTGTCGTTTAAATGTTTCGGCATCCCTTTGACGTAGTCACTTGTGTCTGGCTAGACGATGATGGATGCCGTCATACCGAGAGGGTCCTAAGAATATCTCTCCATCATCGGAGGAGCACATCCCACTCTCGAGGTACCTAGTCCCTTGACAAACTTTCCGATGAACTTGTAAGTTGTCGTTATGATGACCTAGTTATAGATGACATTTGAGCAACTCCAAAGTCCACCGCGGTAGGAAGTGACTATGATACTTGTGGGTATCAAAACCGACAGATCTTGGGTAGGGGGTCCCGAACTGTGCGTCTAAGGATCGAAGGTAACAGGAGGCAGGGGACACGATGTTTACCCAGGTTCGGGCCCTCCTAATGGAGGTAATACCCTACTTCCTGCTTGATTGACTTTGATGAGAATAGGGGTTACAAGAGTTGATCTACCTCGAGATCCTAATGGCTAAACCCTAGATGTCTAGCATGTATGATCGTGATTGCCTCTACGAATTAAACCCTCCGGCTTATATAGACACCGGAGGGATCTAGGGTTGTGCAGAGTCGGTTTACAGAGAAAGGAAGATGCATGATCCGAACACCAAGCTTGCCATCCACGCAAAGGAGAGTCCCATCCGGACACGGGGGAAGGTCTTTGATTTCGTATCTTCATGGGCCATTAGCCTGACCCATATCACATAGCCCAGACGTCCGAGGACCCCTTAGTCCAGGACTCCCTCAATACTCTCATGGTCTAAAGAACTAAAACACATGCTAACACTCTGTGTTATAACAATCGTTTATAAATGATATTATCTTAAAGGATAACAAACAAGATTGGTTGATTCAATATGATCGTTTTCTAACGTGATATTCTCAATGTTGTCTCAGGACTATCGTTAACTTAACGATATCTTGAGATCCGGGAAACATGATCACTAACAACACTTGAGCCAGCCTTACAGGAAAGATCGGGAACCTATATTATGTTGTTTATCATTTCACACGTGCATATGAGTTTTCCACTGGATCACATATTCCATAATCATAGCAGTTATAGCATGAAATATAAACTTTTAATTATGAAAATGGAAATATAATAATACAATATAATTGCCTCTAGGGCATATTTTCAATAGGGAGGTGGAGTGCCAGCCCAACTTGGTCCACCGAATGCCCTTCCTAATGGCTATGCCAAGATACACGTCGACGCCGAAGTTAGAGTTGGGAAAGGAGGCTCGACGACTATAGTGTGACGCGATCAGTAGGGCAATTATGTTGGGAGTTCAACGCTGGTAATTGCAGGTATGGATGACCCAGCTATTCCGGAGACCATTGCATGTAGAGAGTCCCTGGCCCTTGCGGAAGATCTCAAATTGCATAATCTAGTCATTGCCTCCAGCTCTAAACAAACGATAGTTGATATTGCCAGAGGTAGCATGGGGAAGAATGTATCCATTGTCCATGAGATTAAGCTTAGATCAGCTCCTTATTAGTGTAATTTTACTTTTGAAGATTGTGCTGTCAATACTGAAGCACATAGTCTAGCAGTATTCTTTCTTTTTCGGTCTCGGCAGACTATGTGCTTTAGTATTGACAGCACGATTAATGTCCATGAGATTAATGATAGATTGGCTCTTTATTAATGTAATTTTACTTTTCAAAGTCGTGCTGTCAACGTAATTGTATCCCACACATTGTGGCTTTTGACGAATAAATTGGCCCCTAAAAAATGAATAAATTGGCTTTACCCCCTAAGAAAAAGTTAACAGTGTCTAAAAAAAAGAAGAAGACTAACATTAACATCCATGGACCACGGTGGGCGATCTGTCACTTTAGCTGCGCCCCATCATCGATTATCCTATCGTACGTTGTAGCGTAGTGCCCACTTGGCGACCCACTGTCAGCGAAATTAAACCAGTCCCCTCAAAAAAAAGAAAAAGCGAAATTAAACCAGTTATCAGCCCAACACACCTACCGACTAGCGGGCCATCTAGGCACTGTCAGTGACGAGCGCGGCTGAACACGGCGGTGCACGTTTGCGTGCACGATCCTCATGCAGAAAAATAATGGCCAGGATAGCCGCCACGGCTCTGAGCGCCCTCCGGTCTCCAGCCTACCCACCACACCCACTGACATGAGGTCCCCGTGGTTAATGCCCCACTTGTCATCCAGGTTACCTGACAGACGGGCGCGCGCGATTGTTGACGCCTCGTCGTACGCGAACCCAAACGAGTAAACAAACAAAGCAAAGTAAAGGCGGGCGCCACCTCCACCCACGCCACACATAGATCTCTCTCTCTCTCCGTCTCTTGCTTTGCCTCTAGTCGTCGCCCAGTCGCTGCCGCACTGCTCCGGCTCCAGCTCGACGCAGGACGGAGCATCCGGGGCACCTGCCTTCTCCACCCCTCGTGCCGCCATCCCCTGCCAGCTGCTAAGGTTCGGCACCACGCCTCCTTGTCTCTGCGACTCGAGGTGTTGATTTTTACGGGGTTTTGGGCCGATTGTTTTTAATCCCCGAGTTTGTGGCTGTGGTCGCAGATCTGACTCACGGCGCCGGCAAGGTTGTGGCGTCACGGAGATGCAGAGGCAGGGGCGCCACATGGAGCGGTCCGGCTCCAAGCGGGCGCTAGACCCTGGCGGCAGTGGGGGCGGCGGCGGCGGCGGCGACGACGACGAACGTGATCCTAAACGGCCGCGCGTCCCGGCCCTCGCCAGGTGAGTGTGGGAGACCTATCTTAATAGGTCTGTGAGGGTGGCGCTTCCTAGGGTTTGGGTTATCGATTTGCTGTAGTAGTACTAGCTTAAACTCAGATGTCATTAAGAGATGCTATTCGTAATTAATGATTGGCCCAGTTCGTGTTCATACGGCCTCGGTTTTGTACTGACCTGTTTTAATGCGGAAAAGTGTGCATTTGCTCTCAGCAAAAGGTGCTAAATCACTGTGTCTGCTCTTTACACAGCTAAAATCAGGCAGTTAAAAGACTTGAAGTTCACTTTCACTTGAACGGACTAGTTAATGAAGAATAAGAGCTACAAAATCAATAACGGGGTTGAAAACATAGTTTTTGTGTGAGAAGTGAAAACATGTCCTGCATCGGCCATTTTAGTTGAAAGATTGCTTCAAAACATTTTTATGAGCTCTAAAGTCTCTTTGTCATCCACAACACGACTTGGCACATATATAATTAGTCAATCAGTTCCTTGCTTGGTTTTGTTTAAGAGTGCTATATAAGATGCGGGCTATTCACCCGAAATTATTATAATATGTCTGTGATATATATCTCACCGGACTAGGACTCAAATTGACACATTTTTCCTATTTTAGCAAGATATTTATTATATCCTACCTTGAACGTTGAGTGGAATTCTTGATAGGCATATGTCTTATCTGCTTCACTTTGTCATTCGTTGATTACTTGAATTTGAATCTCCATTTTCTGGAACCATATTGCAACTATGTGACACATGCTTAATTTCATCTAAAATTTTATCTTGGTTGACCATTGCACAACAAATGGTATACGGAAATCTAAGGTTCTAAGGTGTGCATCCTTTGTTTCTTTGTATTGTTCACTTTGAAGTTTATTGTACCGTGCTTTGATAAATCCCTGATAATTTACCTCAGCAACTTGTCCTTTTCTTTCAGTGTCATTGTAGAAGCTCTCAAGTTGGACAGTTTGCAGAAGCTTTGTTCATCCCTTGAGCCGATTCTCCGACGAGTTGTGAGTTAAAGAACACACGGCATCTTTTATTAACTTGTTGATATACTCATTTTGCTGCTTTTATGATCAGTCGACACATGTTATTTCATTTGTAGGTCAGCGAAGAAGTAGAGCGTGCTTTAGCCAAATTGGGGCCTGCAGCAGCACCTGCTAGAATTGAAGGGAGGTAAGATTATGCAACTTGTTCTTGGTGATGCGCCATATGAAGAGATGTAGATCTATATATTTCTGTAGTGGTATTTGGATCTGTCACTTAAGTCAAGCTTCATGTTAAACAGGACCTCTCCCAAAAGAATTGAAGGCCCTAATGGCAGTAATCTCCAGCTTCAATTTCGGAGTAGATTAGCACTCCCACTCTTTACTGGAGGAAAAGTGGAAGGCGAGCAGGGAGCATCAATACATGTTGTGCTGTTGGATGCAAACACTGGACATGTCGTTACTTCAGGACCCGAGTCACTTGCAAAATTGGATGTTCTTGTGCTCGAGGGTGATTTTAATAAAGAGAAGGATGAGGATTGGACTGAAGAGGAATTTGAGAGCCACATTGTGAAAGAACGTGAAGGGAAGAGGCCTCTTTTAAACGGTGATATCCATGTGACACTTAAAGAAGGCGTAGGGACCATAGGAGAGCTTATCTTCACCGACAATTCCAGCTGGATAAGGAGCAGAAAATTCAGACTTGGGATGAGGGTCTCGTCAGGATTTTGTGAAGGAATTCGTATCAAAGAGGCGAAGACAGAGGCTTTTACTGTGAAAGATCACAGAGGAGAATGTATGTGTCGGTGTTTTGTACTGATCTAGTGCCATTGTTAAATAATCTAAAATGTACTTGTGTATTCCCTCTTTTTTGTAGTATACAAGAAACATTACCCTCCTGCACTTAAGGATGATGTTTGGAGATTGGAAAAGATTGGAAAGGACGGTGCATTCCACGGGAAACTAAACTCAAACGGAATCTATACAGTTGAACATTTTCTTCAACTTCTTGTTAAAGATCAACAGAAGTTAAGAAGTGTAAGTCATATTATTTCTCTGACTTTTGAGTTGTGAACCTTGCTGGCTCGTAGCCAAATATCAGCTTCTTCTATTGGCCTTTTGCAGATCCTTGGCACTGGTATGTCAAATAAGATGTGGGAAAGTCTTGTTGAACATGCGAAAACTTGCGTTCTGAGTGGCAAGCATTATATATATTACTCCAAGGATACAGCAAGTGTTGGTGCAATATTCAATAACATATATGAGTTCACTGGTTTGATTGCTGATGATCAGTTTATTTCAACGGAAAATCTTACTGAAAACCAGAGGGTTAGTATGTTCTACATGCCCTGTTGATGCAGATCACTGGATGTTTTAATATCTTGTCTGCACTCTACACTTGACAATCTATAAATTTAGATACTTGATGTTCTATATTTTTCTCTGGTCTCCTGAATGTTGGTGCTGATTAATACGTAGTATTAAATGTATGCATCTTTCTCATTCTGAAAGTTTCCCTGCTTTCCTGACCATCAAATGTCTATTGACCATTGTTACTCTTGCCTGGAGTAGTCTGTTACACTTATCAGGCCTAGGCAGGGCATTCACACTACAGAAAAGTTTGGTTTCAGTAGGACTGTTGTCTCACACTACCGAAAAGTTTGGTTTCAGTAGGACTGTTGCCTATGTTATTATTTTGGCTGGAACTGTTTCCCGTATTAACTGATTTGAGGTCATACCATATGCCATGAGCCTATGACACTCAGAAACTTCCTTTATTGGAGATCAGATTGAAAAAAATCCCACCGAGAAACATTTAAATGGTCATATTGTAGTTACAGTAATCTTGGGCATGTCTCATGGAGATTTGCACTTTTTCTTCAATTAAATTACTCAACTCGTGACTTGCTCAACCTGGTTAATTATCAGCATTATGATATTTCTTGTTTTATGAAAGTATTTTTGTTCTTCTGAAGATATATATTTCATTCTCAGTATGAGATGTTATGTGGCATACAGCAGAATAGATAAAACAAAACACAGTATGGTTCTCTTGCAATATTCTTGAAGGAATCCGATGACAGACTCTATATCGCCCTTACTACAATTATGATTTGGTCCTCATATGGCTATATCTGAATTAGAGAACCTGTTATCACGAAAGTCACCATCACTTTACTTTGCCACAGGTGTTTGCGGATACATTGGTGAAGCAAGCATATGATGATTGGATCAACGTTATAGAATATGATGGCAAGGGATTGTTGAAATTTAAGCAGAAAAAGAAATCTGTCACAACAAGAAGTGATGCTGCAAATATCTCTACAAGCTACACTTCTTATGATTCAGCGCACTCTCAGAAACAATTGGCACGAGGACATGCCAATGCCAATATTGAGCGATCTCTCATGAGCAGTACGAGTAAAGGTATCTGTTTTTTGCCTCTTGTAGCTCAAGACACTTTTTCTGAATGTTTTTGGTGCACCCTTCATATTAGCCATGCTTCTTGAGCAGTTATTTAGATTATTGAAAATGAACTTAAATTCCATTTTGACCTAAACTTCATGGTTCCAGTTTCTATCCACCTACCGTCCTTACATGACATGACAATAAATATTGTTTCCAGTGTCTATTTCTCTCGCTAACATTCTTTTGTATCTTTTGTATTAACGTGTCTAAAATATGCAAAATGGGATGGGATGCATCATCAGGGTCTAAAAAGTAACAATATTTTTATTCCTGCTGTTTAATTTCACAAATGAAAAATGTTTTAGAATGTACTCCCTCTGTTCATTAATATATGACGTTTTTTAGACTGACCAAAGTTTAAAAACATCTTATATTAATGAAGTAATGAACAGAGGGAGTATATTTTACAAATTTAGTTGATTTATGTGCTTAGAAAAGCTTTGATTGCTGGATCAGTTTATTTGCATGTCGCACTTTGAAGCCCTCGTAGCATTTTATTTTCAATTTGTTAATTACTATTAGCTTGACTGTAGAATCTCTTTTGTTCTGTTCAGCAGAAGAGACAAGAATTGCATCCAACGGGAACCAGGTAGCAATATATGCAGCCAATGCTCAGGACATCTCACCAAGTATTACCATGCAATATGGCATGAGTTCATTGATCCCTGAAGGCCAGTTCAATGGCTCTTCCATCCAAACTCAAGCATCAAGAAGCTCCAACATGCTAGCATTTGGACCACCACCACAGCAGCAGCAGAACTTCGAATTCTCAGCACTTGGTCTGTCCATGCAATCCCCAGCTCCTAATCCTTTTGATGACTGGCCCGGACGGTTGCAGGAGAACCGCGGTGGCGTTGATGACTTCCTGATGGAGGAGATTAGAGTGAGAAGCCATGACATACTGGAGAATGAAGAAGAGATGCAACATATGCTGCGCATTCTTAGCTGCGGGGCAGCAGCAAACATGAATAATGTAGATGGCTTTACCTCCTACCCTTCTCCTGCACCGGTGGCCTTCAACTTTGAGGATGATCGTGCTCCCTCATCCGGTAAGGCTGTTGTTGGGTGGCTTAAGATTAAGGCTGCTATGCGGTGGGGCATCTTCGTCAGGAAGAAAGCAGCCGAGAGAAGAGCTCAGCTTGTTGAGCTGGATGACTAGGGGATACGGCTGTGGGTAAGACGCTTGTTTCTCTCGTCTTGTATAATTGCTTTGTTGTCGCTTATGTGTAACAGCTCGAGCTCAGTAATGATAGACGATACAGGATCTCAAGCTCCCAAAAGTATGAATGGACTCACGTTGGTTGTATAGGTAGCTGTTTGATGGTCATTATCTAAGTTCTGTTGTTCAGAAAAGGAAAACTGTTACAACATTGACCTCAACTGTGCAAACTTATTTGTTGTAGATTGGACACTTGAAACAGGCTATGTTTATGGGAACTAGCAGGTGTTTTTTTTAATTAAATGGCCAAATGAGTTGCATAAAGAAAGAAAACATTACTATTTTTTTCAGAAAGAGGGAAAGCCGCTCGGCCTCTAAAAAGGTCCTATTCTGCAGGGGAACTTGAAGCCGTTCATTTGTTGGAGATTGGAAACTGAAAATTATCACCGAAAACTTCTCGACATTGTACATTAAAACATGCATTGGAAGAAGCTTTTGGTGCGTCTATGTGTTTTGGAACCTATTTCTTGCTCAAAGAAATTTCAGTCCTATTTTCATGCAACTTCACAAAGTTTCTTTTTTTGCGGGAGAAACTTCTGATCTATTCATAATCAATCACGGTAGTACATGGAACAGTAGACGTAAAAAAAATTGCAACCAGTTTCATGGATCACCCAGCGATGACTACAAGTAGTGGAGCGAGTCGAAGGTGCATTGCCATCATTGCCTCTCCCTCGTCAGCGTCGGAGAAAGATTGTTGTAGTATATAGTCAGCGTCGGAGAAAGGTTGTTGTAGTATATAGTCAGGAAGTCACTATGCTAAGACTCCATAGGACTAGCGCATCAGAGCAACAACCATCGCCGATGAAGAGAACCGTAAATTGAAAAGATCAAACATATAAACATCCAAACGAAGATTGGATCCAAACAGTTCCACCGAAGACCTGCACTGCCCGAATTTCATGAGATTCGACTCCACATGCCCTTCGATGCTAGACGTACCATCGAAATGGGGATTGAACGTGATAGACATTATTCCTATCTAGAGACATCGCCGTCCCCACATAGCAGGGCCCCTCTTGCCGGCAGGGGATGAGGTCCTCCATACCTCCATGGCCCAAAGATAATCAGAGGCGGGCCGGACCGGTGGTGGCGCCAATGAGATGAGAAAGCCTAATTACCTAGGCCCTTTTCTTGGGGAGGAGGAAAGGTAGAAACTAACTTCAAAAAGCTTGGTCCTATATACTTGCAGACTTGTAGCATACACACTAACTAATGTTAGTGTTTGTCATGTGATCATATGGAAGATTAACAAGTTTGATGGTTGGTATTGCGGATATGGGTGGTTACTGACTATTCATGATTAACAAGTTTGATGCTTGTATAGCGGATACGGATAGGTGCCCGACTCTTAGTCTCTTGCATCAGAAACACGCCTTTCTTAATTTGTTACCCAACAAGGATTCCACAAAAATTTCATTCAACACTTGTTAGAGCAACTTGGAAATTGGCAAGGATGCGAAGGGGTGCACACCTGCCCAGTCGTGTATGGTTGTCTGATTGCTTTAGTATTTGTAAATATGTTTAGTTTCAGCCCTATGGTTACCGTAGGCTGGGTTCCATCTATACATGCTTTTGGCAGCTTTTGCCCCTTGTATTTTCATTTCATCTTTTAATTTCGATCTACTGTATCTTTTGAAGAAAGTCCAAATTAAGTTTCGTTTGCATATTTTGTGTTCGTCGTGACGAGAACTTCAAACAAACCAATCATGAACACATTTCAACAACTTTTTTTCTAAGTTTCAAATGTTGAAACTTGATCATCGTAACATTAAGTTTTACCAAGTTTCACACGCTTTTAGGGTTTTGGGCTTAGGGCTTTAGGGCTTAAGATTTACGTTTTAGAATTTAGTGTTTAAGTTTTAGTTATAGTTTTTGAAACTTGCTAAATTTATCATCGTTACTATCAAGTTTTAGTAGTTGAAACTTGTCGGGCTGCCCGATTTGCCTCACGATTTGCAAACGTTGGATTCCACACAAGGGCACACCAAGTCTAAAGTTTTAGTTTCTGAAACTTGTGATTTTGTTGTTCGCTCGTACAAGTTTCAGTAGTTGAAACTTAACAAAGTTTAAAAAACTCATAAAAAAGATTCAAAATGGATCTTATTTGAAAGCCCTCATCACAAGAAACATGAATATGCAAACGAAATATAAATTGGACTTTTGGTTTGAAAGATATAATAGATTCACATTTGAATGTCAAAAGAAAAATCATGGGATGTCGGATAGGTGGATATACCAAAATTTGCGAAAAGTTGCACGCATGGACCCCTATAAGGTAATTAAGGTCTAAAGCACATGCAAAGGCAAAACAAGTTTCTGAATCACGAAGGAATCAGATGGCCAGAAATATGCATGCCGCCATAACTGCGGGCCACAAATCCTCTCCCTAGAGCAACTCTAGCTGAGTTGTAGACACATTGTCGTCATAATGCGAGCTTCATATTTGTTCAACAAGTAGGACCCAAGGGTCCTTGGGTCACAGGTTCTTCCTTAAAAGGTCTAGACAAACACATTTAACCTAGAACATGTTCAGAAGCTTCAATTTTATTACTATAAACAAGTGCATAAAATTATTCACATTGTGACTTACGATCATAGAACACCAAATAATATGTTAAACTATACTAGTTAGTTAAACTAGTTGCCACATGGCCACGTCCACGGGCACACCCACGGCCTAGTTGCAACAGCGACCACGAGCACCTCCAAGGCCACGACCACCACCATGGCCACCCCACCACTGCGGCCTACGTAGAATGCATCAATGCTGGTTTGGATGGCTTGGAAATGCCTGCCGCGGCGTTGTCCCAGGCTGGCCATACGTTCATGACAGCGGGTGCGGGTGCGGCAGCCTAAATTTTCCCCTCCATTAGCGTGTCCAGTGGAACAATCTACTCCAGGACCAGGTCCACCTGCTCCCAAAGGGAGGCCAGAGGATCCGCGGGCTCCTTCTCCTCATCATTCCCAAAAGTGAAGACAAGGGTGAGCTTCTCCGGGTGCGCAATTGAAGGCGTCAGTGGTGGATTGGAGGCGGAGGAGATGAGAATGGGAGGCGCCAGAGAGAGCGGAGGGCGACAATTAGGAAGGCGACATGCACGCAACGATGGACGCTCAAAGGGCGTGTTTCCCTGTGAGAAACGTTGCCGCGTCCTTCTTGCACGCCTCTCGACTGCTCAGAACTGGTGCCGCGGCTCACACGACTCCTCTTGTCCTGCACACACGCAAGTCAGTAGATGATGCCGCATGGCAGCCATCTAAGGGGCTTGCCATGGGAATCTGATGGGATGGCATTAATGGCTGGGTGCCTGTCACCGCTGGTGTGTGAAGGCCGGGCTGCTTAAAATCAGACACACGGTGCAAAGATGAAGAAATTGAAACTCCGGCACTAGCGGTTGGGTTTGGAGCAACCTTCATATTGGCCTCCACAACCTTTAAATATGGAGGCTATGAGGTCATTTATAGAACAAGCTCCATAAATCATGGCGATGAGGAGTAACCCTGCTAAGGCGTGTTTTTGGCTAAAATCGCTATGTTGACGGTTATTACGATGACAAGATCATATGAATATATGATGGACTCTAATAGAATTGCTAAGTACTTGTCATTTGTTTCGATAAGGTGGTTGTAGCTGCCCCCTTTGCGTCTGTTTTGTGTCGGTGCGTGTGGGAAGTGTGTGTGAGTCCCTAATCAGTAGAATTAGGTCAGATGATCCGAGTTCAATAAGTGTAAGCCACTTACGTTCTTGTCCCTTCTCCGTGGAGGCTCATGTTTTGAGTGACGGAGGCCTAAATGTGGAGTTCCGGTGTCTAGCTTTGAGTGCCTTTAAAGATTTCACGGCTCTTCATGGTGTGGCTCGCTATTTACTACTCGTATACTGAGACACATATCCTGCAACTACCAACCCTGTTGCGCCCTTTCACCAACTGGTTATGCAGCTGTGAAAAATGATCTACATATACCATCCCTCCCGTTCATATTACTTGTCGCTTAAACATATATATTAGTACCGAAATATGTTTCTATACATCTGTTTGAGCGACAAGTAAACTCCCTTCATTTCAAAATATAACGTATTTTGACACTATGTGATCTTTTTTGACACAATGGAACTATGACAGTGTTAAAAATGTCTTATATTTTGATACGGAGTGAGTAGATCGGGACCAATTAAGACTTAAGAGAGATGTTTAGAAAAAGAGAGTATTTTTCGCAAAGTGAGACTCGCCCAAAGAGTCAAGATTCGGCTAAAACCATAAACAAAGTAGCATCACTACGGATCGATCGACGGCCCTAGATTTCCGGTGCGATTAACAAGGCCGCGCTGCAGGCACCTGAGTGGATCGTACGAGTTCCCCGACCGAGGCCGCGAGCGGGGTGGGGGCAGCTGCATAGAAATTGAAAAAGGAAACACGTCCGAGGGCAGCGAGGACGGCCAGGGGAGACGAACCCCCCTTTCTTTCCATCCCCTCCTCCTTATAATACTCCCCCACCATGGCCACAACTTGCATGGGACGCGATGACGACTAATACTACACCCCTGGCTCTGGCTGGATGCACTGCATCCAGCCCTCCCTTTCTTTTCCTTCCTGCTCTCATCTGCCTGTCTGCATCTCCCAGTCCGTGAACCAGCGATCATAGAAGTCCCGGTCGGTGCTGGAGCACTGCCGATGTGTATACCGAGCTTGATGCCGAGGGAAAGATGCTAGCTGATGTGCCATCGGTTTCACCAGGTAGACATATGCTTCGATTTTTACGTTGACATCTGGCTACTCATGTGATCGTATATCTATTTTTGTCGGTGTGTACGTGCCTTGCTTATACTTACACATGTGGTAACCAGTAATTGCATGTCTTTTTTGTTGAGAATCAGTAATTGCATGCTTGGCTTGTACTACTTGCGGTCTCACAGATGAATTAGTAGTACTATATATATATTT